GGACAGGTCTCCCCCCCGGTAGAGGCGCGCACGCCGTCCTATCATTTAATTTGGTATCGGATACTTACTTCTGCCCTTAGGCTTGAAACCCCCGGCCTTTTCTTTTCCTTCTGCTCTCCACACGCACGATCCATCCCGCGGATCCAGGACGCGATCCTGCCCTCGCGCACCGCTCCACGCTTTTTGCCACGCCGACCACCGAGTCCAAACTCCATTTTTACTCGGCAAATCGGGGCGAGAACGTTTTTTTTTTTTTTTCCTTTTTTTTCTTTTTTTTTTTTTTTTCGACTTTTGATTTTTCAACGAGAAGAAGAAGAAGATAGGCGGAATAACGAATTTCGATCGAGACGTGTTGTTTCCGTGTTGGTTGTTTTCGAGGTTGTGGCGGAATAGACAGATTTTCCTTGCAACGATTTCTCTATTCGAATAGAAGTAGTTCGTTGGTAGTTTTTAATTATTGTTTATTTATTGTTACTTGCGCTCGTTGATTCGATAAGAAACAGTTGCGTCTGCGTTCAATTGCGAAAAAACAATTGTCACGCGCGTGACAACCGTAGTTCATCTATTATCGCGTCACGTTTAAATCGTCTATCCTTATATTATTATTTATTCAACGATTCGAGTGATCGAGCTGTCGACAGCGACACGGATGACACACGCTCGATATATATTTCATAAGTCATTTCTCCATCAAAATTTATGGCGAGACAAGACTAACAGTTTATTCGACGATGATCCACATTTATAACGAGAGCGTAAAACTGGATTTTCGCCTTCCTTATACGCGAAGAAGGCCGAAGTATGAATCGATTAATTCAATTTGCTACTAAATTTGTCCCTTCCAATTCAATCTTCATTTTTCCTCGAACGTTGAGCGACGCAATCCTTTCTTCTGGCCGATCGATCGGGGAAAGATTATTAGCGGCCGTATAAATAAAATATAAAATTGCCGTTCGTTAAAATTCTATCCGTGGATCGGTGGGCAGATCAGGGCCCAGAAAAGGATGCAAAACCGGGCAGAAGAAGCTGCTCATTAGCACTTATGCGGCATGTACATCGTCGGTGGCAATGAGCATCATCGTGTCGTAACAGTACGGCATAGGAAACGTCTTCGTAAAAGGAACGCCGATCGGCCAGCCGATCGAGTGCTCCTCTCTCTGCTAGACGTCCACCAGCCGGACTAGTTACCGGTTAAGGCGTTATAAAATCTAGCGTAACCAGGCTACGCTTCACTTTTTCTTTCGTAGGAAAAGTATCGCCGGTTTGCTAATGAGACGCCCGATCCGCCATCGTTCGTTATTAAACCGGTGAAAGTTTTCCATATCATCAAATCGATATCAAATCGTAATCAACGACGATGATCGAAACTATATTTGTAAAAAAAAAGAATAATTTCCTCGTCGGCTCGTTTGTACCTTCAAATTTTATTGCATTTCCTTCGACCACCGTTTCGATACTCGAATCGTTTCTGTTCGAAGAGAAAAATGTTGGGAGAGATTTTTGTCTTGATCGATGGTTGGTTACAGATTTTTATCATTTTTGTTATTGCAAGGGCGAAGATAAGAATATACATCGGCGTTGATATCGGCGTTTGAATAAATTCGACAGCCTCGATACGCTCTAAGAGTATAATCCCATTGGGTTTTAATAGGCGATCTTCCCTTCGGTGGAAGAAGGTGGAAGGGTCGAGAGAGGGGCCGATGTTGCGGCATAGACGCAGATACGCAATCCGCCATCGAGATAGGCCGTTTTATTGGGATCGTAGCCCTTCTGATCTCAGGCAAATGAAGATGGAGCACCGACTTCTTGCTCCTGTCGTGATCAAAAAAACATGATCGCGTAAAACTTTGCGCCGGAACATGTGGCAATTGCGGTTTCTCGCTCTTACTTTCCCCTAAAGTAAGCCTCTTCAAATATCTACGATTCCAAATATTATACAAATTTATTTCAATTTTAATAAATCATACGCTACGCACTTTAATTATGAAATAGAAATAGCGCTTTTCTTCGAGTAGACCTTCGAATAGAAGTGCTTCGAATAGAGAGAGAGAAAGAGGGAGAAAGCATCCTTAGAGACACGTTAGGGTGTGACCAACTAAGGGTCGTTTTAACCCTCCAACCATAGATTAGCTCTTTGCTTGCTACGTTACTTCCAAAGAAAAATCTAATCTAACAAGAATACGTTACAAAGTTATTGCAAATTCGAATTCTGATTCAAAAAATATAAATTTAAATATATAATATATAATTATATATATATATATATATAATTATATAAATATATAATTTAAATATATAAAATTTATAATTGATTATTAATTTTACTTTTTTTCTTTTTTCCTTTTTATATTACATTAAAACGCGCACATTTTCAATTTCTCGAATTGAAATAATTCAAACTAAAATAATTTGTGAACGACGAGGAAACAAAACGATGTAGAATATTTATTACGAGTTTAAATATCCATAATAACCTTCGCGTTATATTGTATTTAAGAATTATTTAACCTATTCGTATACATACGATCGTCGACATTGGCCGACGTAAACACGAGCCGAATAAATACGCACGACCGATCGTCGACTTTATACGCAGTATATACGCAGCACTCGAGAACGTCGCATCGTCGAGAAAATTAAATTTCATCTCTGTGAAATTTACGCAAATTTCGTTTCGCGCATGGATCAACGAGCGATGAATATCCGCGATGAATATCCGAATATCCGAATCTCGAACTCGAAAGTATTTTTCCTCTTCTCCCCCTCTCGTAATCGAGACGAATCTTGGAAAGAGAATCTACGTCGTACGCAATTAACGATGGGACAACGGTCGGTCTCGAGGCATGGATACCCCGTCGGGGGTTAAACAGCCCCTC